TCTCTCTCTCTCTCTCTCCCTCTCTCTCTCTCTCCCTCTCTCTCTCTCTCCCTCCCTCCCTCTCTCCCTCTCCCTCTCTCTCTCTCTCTCCCTCCCTCTCTCTCTCTCCCTCTCTCTCTCTCCCTCTCACACACACATTTCCTCTGCTCTCATTCAGACAGAACCCATACTTCAAAGGCCATAGACCCAAAGAGTAGGACAGGGAGTCCCCAGAGTGAAGGAAAAAGGTGTGAAAAAGTCTCCCTGCCAAGTACGGACCCTTCCCAGGAACAAGCTTCCCAGTCAATTACTGGTCAACGTGGTTAGGTAGGCTGGAGCCACTTCAACGGAAACGGGCACGCACACACACACACACACACACACACCCTGTCTAAGGAATGTTTTACAAGACTCTGTGACCACAGCCCACAAGAAGAAATACAAAAATATTTATGAAATAATACCCTTATTAACATGTGATTCTTTCTTAGAATGTTTTTCCATTCTCATCTCTTTTTTTTTTTTGAAGAATCTTTCTTTCTTCCCTGAGTGAGAAAGGCAGTGCCCCAGCACCCCACTCCCCGCTCCTTCAGCCTGCCCTGTCATGGTTACGCATGCACCCGGCACGGTCAGGGAGGCCCCTGGACACGAACTCAGAACTCTCCCTTGTGGGGGAGTCTCACAGGGTGTTTCTGGGTGTTGCTGCCTTGCTTCTGACCAACCTCTAGTCTCTTTCTTTCTCTCCTTTTTTTATTTTGTTTGTTTGATGGCGGTTGCAACTCATTTCAAAACCAGTTACTGTATAGCAGCCCATTAGTCTAAGTAATTAGTGCACACCCATATGAAATGGCACAGTCAAGGAAGACTGATGCCCTGGGGCGGGGGGAAGAATTGGTGGCAGTCCACAGCCTATTGAGGCCAGCCTCATGGCAGATCTATGCCTGAATGGGAGAGACTTGCTTAGCTGGCAGAGAGGTGACACTGAGCTCTAGAGGGTCACCAAATTTCCAACCCATTCCTCTAATTCAGTACTGACCAAGGAGCCATCTGGCAGCGCTGTCTCCCTGAAAAGACTTCCTCCAGGTAGAGGTGCACTGACCTACCCAAAGGTGACTCCCACGCAGCACATGGGGCAAGTGCATGAATTAGGTCTATGTGACAGCGACTTCCACACGTGTGTTCACACATTTGACCAACTTGGACTGAACACTAATCCAGGCACCAGAATACCAAACAGAAAGGCACGGCCCCTGGCCTAGAACACTAGCCTCTGGCAGGGGAGACCAGCTCAGACACAGACCTAAGTACGACAAAGGCAATGGCAGGGTCACGAAGCAGAACTGAGGTTACACAGGGGGCACTCTGCAGCCCCTTGGGAACACAGCGGCTCCTTGGAGGAAGTGGCCGTAACCAGTCAGCAGGACTTCATCGTTTCCTCTGACTCGCCACGGTCTTTCTTATCTTGGGCCCTTAGTACCTGATGTTCCCTTGGCCAAGAACGTTCTCATATCCACAGCCACCCACTGCTCGCCTCTTGCCTAACTCCAATACATCCTTCAGACCCCAACATAAATGTCACTTCCTCCAGGAAGTCTTTGTTGATCACCATCTTTCTCAATGAACGAGATCAGCTTTGGACCACATGCTCTTAGTATCAGGCATTTCTCCTGTGTAGCCCTCAATTTGCACTGAAAATGGTTCACTGGCTTGTCCGTTTTCTCCACCATCAAGCCTCACACCAGGGAGAGAGGGCAGCATGCACGGGATGAACAGGTGATGAACAAGGGTCTCGGCCGCACTCAGGGGCGACCAGAAGGGAGCAGGGATTTAAGGAGGAAGAGGCCAGTTTCTCTATGACACCTGGAGCCCAGGCCAGCCCTGCCTCCAGGGTCTGCTGGAACCTTCCTTAGCAAGCAAGCAAGGGGAGCCTCACCTGCACAGAGAAGCTCTGCCCCTCCGGCTCGTGGCGCCCCACCAGCGTGTAGCTGCCCTTCCCGGACAGGTAGTAGTAGAGGCCATCAAATGTCTCCACGTGGTGCTGCCCCCACGCCCGGCAAATGCTGTCCCGCTCGGGGCCAGTGTTGTACACTGAGGCAGGGGAAAGAGAACTCTGTGCAGCTACAGTGAGCACCCAGCCCCAGCAGAGCACCCCCATTTCTCCCAGCCCGGGAACCCAGGCTCAGGCCTCCAGCTTTCCCTGCGCCCACTTTCCCAGGGGTAGGGTGGAACCAGACCCACCCATCTGGCAGCGAGGTCCTGTGGCATTGAAGCGTCTGCAGTCACAGAGGGCTGGGTGCACACACTCACCCCCGTTGAAGCAGGAGAACAAGTCTACAAGGGAGACACAGGCATCACCCCATCAAGCCAAGATCGTCAGAACTCGCGATGCAGCCCCTCCCTCATGCCAGCACAGGCCTTAGCCCTCCCGGGCTGCATGGAGCCAGGACCCCCACCCCAGCATTCCTTAGCAGCTAGTCTAAATGGGGGCACAAGCGGGGTGCCTCAGTCAGCGGCCCTGCCTTCTCCCTGGCAGACAGCTGAGGAAGGGACTGTCTCAGAGTATCTACCATCAGTATGTATCAAGGGACCTCCAGGCTGAGTTCCCTAGGCTAATGTGCTGAGTTGGGAGACTGCTGGGAAATCATTCACTGTTCTGCCTCATTGCTCCCTAAGCTCAGGGGATGAGGCCAAGCTGTGCATGGGGGAGAGGCCTCACATGGGAACGTAGTAACAGAATGGCCACAGATGAAGAGAAGACAGAGCAGAGTGTGGTGGGTAAGGGAGCCATGATATGAGAGGCAAAACCAGGAACATGCAATAGGAAGAGCAGGCATGGACACAGAATAGGGGAGGGGGCCATGGCCACAGAACACAGAGGAGGGAGGGGGCCCTGCACACACAGCAGGGGCAGGGAGTGGGCTGTGGACTAGAGTAGGGGGGAGGAGGAAATGTGGCTGTGGACACAGAGCAGGGGAGGGGAGGAGCCTGGACACAGAGCAGGGGAGGGAAGGGGCTGTGGACACAGAGCAGGAGAGGAGCCATGGGCCCAAAACAGGGGAGGGTTTGGAGGCCCAGGCTGCAGAAGGCAGGAAGGGACCCAATATAAGAGACTTCAGGAGGTGAGAGGGAAGCCCTTGCCTGCCCTCACAGGCCTCTCTGCAGGCCAGGGCCCTCCAGCACATAGCTCACAGGCCACAGGGAGGTACCACTTACAACCAGGGGCCCAAACCCCCAGGCCAGGAACTGGTATCATCCCATGGCCTGTTGGAAACCAGACCATACAGCAGGAGATGAGTGGCTCGGGAGTAAGTAGTTTCATTTGTATTTACAGCCACTCCCCATCATCCATATTACCACCTGAACTCTGCCTTCTGTCAGATCAGAGGCGTTAGGACTCTCACACTGAAACATGCCCAAAATCCCAATGCACTCAATGCCCTATAATCCCAATTTGCCTTTAAATGTAGTTGCATTCTAGTTGCAGGAAAACAAGCCAGGGCTGCCACTGATTCTGCATTCTAGTGAGGTGTATAATTATTTCACATATGCTACAATGTAATAATAGTAGAAATAAAGTGCATGGTAAGTACAGTGCACTTAAATCATCCTCCTCATTCTCTTCCCCCGGTGTGTGGAAAAATTGTCTTCTTGAACCTAGTCCCTGGGGCCAAAATGTTGGGGCCACGGACTTACAAGATGGTGCACACTTGGCCCGATGGAGCCGCCTTTCCCAGGAGGACATGGCCGTGGAATCCAGAGCTTCAGCTTCCTTCAGAGACAGGAGGAGGAAGGGCCTCGGTCAAGGAATGGCCTCAGGGCCAGCTCGTGGGCAGCATTTCTGGAGGTCACAGCCCTTCTGGTTCTGCATTCCTACCCGTAGGTGCCCCACCCACTCCACCTCCCCACGCCTACCTTTGAGGGAGTCAGAATTCCCAGGCCTACCCTAGGCCCAGAGGAGCAAAGATCTGACTGTTACCAAAGAGCCATATCTCTGGCAGGTCAGGGAGGCTACAGCCTGAACATGTCCCCTCTCCATCTTCCAACACCCCACCTCCTCCCTCCCTAGTAAGCCTTTGTGTATTCACAGCCCCACACAAAACCCCCTTCTCTGGAAAACGAACATGAGGCAGAGCTAAGGCATAAAAGTACCCCTCACCCCTGGTCAGGTGAACATCTCACTCTACCCTACCTCAACCCTCCTTTGGGGCTCTTCCAGCCACAGCCAAAACCACATCTCATGGATCATCACCCGCTCTCCTCAGAACTCCACCCCAGGACAGGGCTCTCCCCCATACCACAGAGCCAGAGGACAGGGAGAGCATGGCTAGGGAACCCCAGATTCCAGCCTGGGTTCCCAACACATGGTCTTGCCAACACAAACCAGCTGAAATCTCAACTGTCCAGATCATGGGTGTTCAGTGACACCCCACATCTCCAGCCCATGGTGATTCGGACACCCCACATCTCCAGCCCACGGTGTTGACTGTCATCCGGGTCTGGGGCCCTGGGCACAGCCGGGGCCTCCCCTCACAGAGGTTCAGCTCCTTGTTTGAACAATGTCCCAGCATCATGGGCCAGGCACTATGCTAGGAGCAGTGAGGAGGACAGAGTCCCACCCTTGCTGAGTCTGTGCTTCTGTTCAGAGGGCCAGCAAGCCACAACCCACACTGCAGGGAATTGTCCCACCTGTCCCCCACCCACAGTCATCTCTGAAGCCCAGACTGAATCACAGCCCCCAGGAAAGGTCTTGAATACAACAAGTATTCAGAATCCTGGTCCCTGGAGCCCACCCCAGCTCTTTGTCCCTCCTTGGCAGGTGAAGTCTCTCTGTCCTGACACTCAGACCCTTCCTCTTCACTGTCCTTCTGACCCCCGAGGGGCTGCTGGTCTGTCCTTTGGCAGATTTCAGTATTCTCAATGCCTTTTTTTTTTTTTTTTTCAATTTGCCAGAGGGGAAAGCAAGAAAACTCATGCCCAATGGGGCATGGTCACTTCCACCCCTTCTCCTCTGTTTTTCCTCCTTTGGGGATTTTAGGCACACACTCAGCAGTGTCCAGCATGTTTTTCAAGCCATCAGGGCCAGGACTCAAACTACTGGTCAGCCATGTGAGATTCTGTCTCCATAAGCATGGGGCCATGGGCTGGCCTGAAACAAGGTGACTTTTTTCCCTTTGTCTGGGTTCACAGAACTCCTGGTCTTTGAAATCAGTCTCTGCAGAGAGACCCAGCTGTAAAGGAGTGAGGCAGCACTGAAAGGAAGATTGATTGGCTGTTGGTCGGGGCCTGCCTCCTTTTTTTTTTTTTTTTTTCCAAATGGGGGCCCCC